GCTCTTCACTACTCTACAGAAATGATTTTGAAACAAACTGGAAGAGTGTGTTTGTAATTACTGTGCACATGTGTGTGTGTTTGTTTAATTAAAGAAGTTATGACCTGAATTTAATAGTAGAAGAATTTTGGGTACTGCAGCCTAGCATGGGAACTTGAGCATTCTTCAGTGTTCTAAGTTTACAATATAAATGCATTTTGAATTGTTAAGAATAAAAAGGAAAGACTTTTCTGCTTCATCAGAAGTATTGTTACCATTTATCCAGCCAGGAAAAAAAATACCATCTCAATAAGTTATAGATCAAATTCAACAATTTGAATTACTTATTATGTTATGTCAACTTTATTACTTCACAATTATGACCAATTTATGTTTGCTTAGAAGATAAATTACATATTGTGGAATGAAGATAACTAATGTATATTGTGAAGTGAAGATATGCTATGAAAGAAATAAGGAGACACTGACTGAGTACCTACCATGTCTAAGATACTTGCTGTAAAGAAGACACATTAAAGGTCAAGAGTTTTTGTAACGTGAATGACTTCATAAGGAGAAATATATTTCAGAAATGTGATTTCTGTGTAATACTTTGAAAGACCATCACATTAGAACTGTACTTTAAAAGTTGCATAAAAGTAGGATTTGTCAGGAAAAAAATCTATAAGAAACCTGACAACCTTTGCAAATTTTAAAGATAACAAATTATTTCCTTACTGTGGACCTATTACAGACTACACAGGGACTCTGAATGGCTACAGACTGCTTTCCCAAAGTCAACTTAACACTATCTAGACATATGCTAAGAATTTAAGAATTTATTTTAAAAGAATGAGTGGATAGAGAAGAATGAACTCTACACATTAATATTGAAAATGAGAAATGGTGTGACTACAGAAATCATTTGGGAAGTTGCTTGTGAAGTTAAATGCGTGGTAAGAGCTAGCAATTCCACTCCTAGGAACTGATGAAATCAGATTCATACCATAAATTTAAGAAAAACATCTGTCTGAAAATAAACAATATACAGCAGCTTTGTCCCTTTTATAGATAAAAACAGGAAAAAAAATAAGCTACTCCACCACATGGTGATGAGTGCATAAAAAGGAATACTCAACAACAACCAAATAATAACTCTTCATATACAAACAATGTGGATGAACCTCAAAAAGACAATGATGAACAAAAGAGGACAGACACAAAGAAGTATAAAAGCATACCTTGTTCTATTATACTGTGACTTAAGTACTTTGCACATGCTTTTGTATGTTGAAGGTTTGTGAAAATCCTGCATCAAGAAAATCTATGGTTCACATGACTTTTTTTTAGCAAGGAAGTATTTTTCAAGTTTGTATATATTTTTTAGATTAAACACTATCATATACTTAATAGAGCATAGTGAAAACATAATTGTTATATGCACTGGGAAACCATCAACCTCATGGGACACTTTAAAAAAAATTTTTTTACTATTTTCTCTATTGAGGTGGTCAGGAACTAAACCTATATTATCAATAAGATATGCCTAGCTACTCAGGAGCAAGAGACCTGAAGATTAGTTAGAAACCAGACGGAGCAGGAAATTCCATGAGACTCTATGTCCCATAAACCACCAAAAAGAGCCCCAAGTGTTGCTGTGGTTCAAGTGTTAGAGCACTAGCCTTGAGCAAAAAAAGTTCAGAGACAGCATTAATGCCCTGATGCTGAGTTCAGGCCCCAGGACTGGTGTGTGTGTGTGTGTGTATATGTATATATATATATATATATATATATATATATATATATATATATATAACATATAATCACATATATATTACATATACTTATTTATTTGAAATACTAGAAAAAATGTAATCTGCAGAAACAAAGTGGCTCATTGTTTTCCTGTGGCCAGGGATCAAAGGTGGGTGTGAACTTGGAAAAGGTACAAGGCAGCTTCAGGAAGCACCAAAAATTTTACATCATGACTACTGTGTTAATTATATGAATATAAATTTTAACACTGCTTCGAATATTCTAAAATCTCATGTCTTCTACAATGTATGTCATAATACAAAAACTTTACCAAGAGTTTAACAAAACTTGGAAATATTAGATTTTGAACAAAGGAAACTATATAGACACTTATTGTACTTATTGTACCATTCAGATCATATGAAGGCCCACTGCTGATTTCTTTGAACATGTTAAGAGAAAATGAAAATTAAAGCAAATTAGGATGAGTTCAATGGTGAGTTATCTGAAAATATGAAAAATACATCTTGTTTGTCTTGGTAACAAGATAAAATAAAGATATATAAATACCTAGTGCACATCTCAGAAGCTACATTCTCTCAGGGAGAAATATGAGTCTACTTAGTGGACATCACACATAGATTTTGTTAATAATATATAAAAAAAATCCTAATTACAACTCAGACTAAGTATCAAGTCCTACTTCTTGAATGTTTATTATCTCCCAGATAATAAACAATCGAAAGTGAGCTTTCCAATTAAGTTATTGAGTTCAATTGCTGAATTTGCCTTTTCAGGATTATATATGGCATATGTCTTCTAAATTCCCTTCTAAATAATATTGTTTCTGTTATAAAAATTGAAATAAAATTTCATAAGTCAAACAGAGTACTTGCTGCATGTTTCATTTCAGTAATAAATAACTTTTGTTAAACTGAGCTTCACTTTAAAAAGCATGTTTCTGTTCATAACTAACATATACAGGGCAGAGCTCTCATTTGGTATAACCAACCTAATAGGAAAATTCTACCTTGTTGGAAAATAAAGTATACTTTAGAATGATTCTTTTTTTTTTGGGGGGGGGGTGTTGGTTATGGGGCTTGAACTCTGGGCCTGCCTGGGCACTGTCCCTCAGCTCTTCAGCTCAAGGCAAGCACTCTACCACTTGAGCCACAGCGCCACTTCCGGTTTTCTAGTGGTTAACTGGAGATAGGAGTCTCACAGACTTTCCTGCCCAGGCTGGCTTTGAACCACGATCCTCAGATCTTAGCCTCCAGAGTAGCTAGGATTACAGGCATGAGCCACCGGCACCCGGCTAGAATGATTCACTTTTAATGAAATTTTATGCATTACTTATAGACAAAAAAGAAATGACACAGAACAACAGCAAGCTATATATTTCCAGTGAAGGGAGAACTTAAGAGTGCTTTTCTATTGTTAAGGGCAAGGTAGTGTGGGACTTGTTCCCTGACACATGTTAAGAATGAACAAAAGTAAAAACTATAGGTAAATACTAAAAGTAAGCCAAGTATAGTTGGATATTAAGAATGAGGGCATATGCGTGAATATAAATCAGGGCCTACCAAATTCACTTCCTACTTTTCTCTTTCCAGAAAGCAAGGACTTCAATTTGGAGATTTAAGAAATCTCAAGAAATTAACTTCACCTTTGACTCCTTAAATGGAACATACAATTGCACATACAATAGTTCTGAAGTAGGAAAATGATCAACAACTGGTTGGAATTAGATGCATGGACACAAATCCTCTTTTTCTAAATCCAAGTAAATGTGGAAATTAAAAAAATAACACTTCGGAGAGCTCAGAAAAAAAAAGAAAGAAAGAAAGAAACGAGACAATCATCCCCAATACCAAAACCCCAAGGCAAAGGAATGGAAATCACTAACCTGCTGGATCATTCCCAAGAAGCCATCGCTTGGGATTTCTGAGTTACATAAGCTAATGGGTTTCATCTGTGGCTTCAATTCATGAGATACTTTTAAGTTACCTTGTTAAGACCATTCATCTGGACAATGCAAAAATCATTCTGCAACCCTACAGTTCTTCAGGAATTCATAATGACCAAAATGTGCTTAATACATGTGCAAAATATTCATTTGGTTTATCTTGTTCTTGTTGTTTCCGTACAGGGCTTAAATATGTAACCAGGCGAATTTTAAGATAAAGCACACAATCCTCCTGCCTCCCCCTCCTAAGAAAGGCAGCTAAGCACACTACCTGATAAATAATATACATTTTTCAAGAATACATATACTACTGGACAATTCTAGATGTATTAAAACTATTATGTTTTATTAACTGCAACAAAACCACAAAGGAAAATTGCCTATAATTCTGGTTTTGAACTTTAAAGCATCTTTCCGTTCTCCTATGTAGGTATTTCTTTTTTCTGCCTTTCTTTTGTTCGGTTGTTTTTTGGTTTGGGAGTTTTTCATTGTCAGTCCTGGGGCTTGAACTCTGGGCCTGGCTGCTGCACCTCAGCTCTTCAGCTAATGATAGCACTCTGCTACTTGAACCACAGCACCACTTCAGTTTTCTGAGTGGTTTATTGGAGATAAGAGTCTGACAGACTTTTGTGGCAGGGCTGGCTTTGAACCGGGATCCTCAGATCTCAGCCTCCTGAGTAGCTAGGATTAAAGGCATGAGCCACTGGAGCCCCGCCTTTTTTTTTTTTTTTAAGATGGGGAGGATTGAACCCAGGGAATTGCACATCCTAGTAATCTATACTAGGATTTAGCTATACATTTATATACTACTAAGTTACACCAACTTTAAAACTTGTAAATGATTTTAGTATCCAATCATCTCCTCACTATGTCTTAGCAATATGTCTTAATGCATGAAGGCTGTAAGTCTTAAATCAGAGGGTGAAAACAGAAAAAAAAAAATGCCTTCTCTACATTCAGTCTAGAATAACCGATTAGAAGCTGTTCAAAAGACAATCTGGAGGGTTAGTTCCAAATGTAGACAAATGTAGACAGCGTAAGGATAAGCCTTTGCAAAGCGTCTCCGTATACTTAGATTCATTCCCAGACTCAAACAAATCAAAGCCCCGAGGATACAAATACAGATCATCAAACAACCCAGCTGCAAAGTTATCTGATTTTAAAATAACTAAAAGAATGCTGTTATTAAAGAAACCTTGAATTAATGTGACCTGTCATTTTAAACATTTCAGCTAAGAACTATAGAGAAAAAAATCATAATGAAACACTGGTAAGAAAAGACTTAATTGGTCTCACTTACCACTTTGGGATATTGAGAACCATTGCAGATGCCAGTCTATACTCCTCTGATAAAAATCTCTGAATAAAAAAGAAATAGGAGGCTGTCTTTGGTGAACTTCAGGTAAAAAATAGTCACTTCAATTTCATTTTGTCCAAATATCACTTGAATGAGAAAAAATTTAAATACCTAGAGGCGTCTGTAGAAAAATTTTAGCAGGCCAATACTTTGTCAGATATTAGGGAAGAAAAGCAATACCAACAATTCAGTCACTCTAATACATAAATGAGGTTCTTATTGAAAAAGAAAGTATTTAGAATTAATTATACAGAAAGAGAAAATATAAGCAATTTTGTTCTTTGCAATTCTGTGAATAATTTATCACCTCTAATTGGCATGTATCTATACATATATATGTACATTACATTTAAATTCATTTGAGCTTTTCTCACAAAAAAAGTATATTAATCCCAATTTTGTTTAAAATAAAAATTTAGGTAGCAATCAATTTTGGGCTTGTTTTAGAAAATAGTATGTCATAGTAAGAAAATTTTATGTTCTTTTAATGATTTCCTATTGCTTGCCAAGAACAAACAAAATAGAAACATGATACAATAAAATAGTCAAAAACCATGAGATCACAAATTTTATTTCATGCCTATATATTTTTCCTCCATTGAGACAGCATTCTTCTTATAATGTGAACATTTAAATTACTTTGAATGGACCCCACAAGCAGATAGACCTAATGATTCACGATTCTTAAATTTATAAAATAGTTGTATTTTCCCTATGTTAACCAAAGTGAATCCCGAATCCTGAGGAAATGCATGAGTCGCTTGACAATCCCTTCATCGTTTCAGTAATGAGTCTCAGATATGGTCTATTTTAATCAGTTTATACTGCTTGGGGCTTGCTAAACTTCATGGAGATGTTAACATTTTCTCAATCAAAAATAAGAAAATGTCAACCACTATTTCTTAAGTACTTTCCATGCTCCATTCCACCCAAATTTTTTGATTGTTTATGCTAGACCACTCAGTGTGGCCTCTTAGATACCCAATTGTTCTTTTTTATCAGTCTTTTTTCTCTACTTCTTCACACAGTAAATAAAATTAGTCAATGTGTACTCAATTCATTATTTTTTCTTAATATGTCGTAGTTTTTCCAAAAAGCTAACAAAATTGTAATTATAATTACTGTTCTTTCCAGTTATCGAATAATCCTTTAGCCCTGTTTTATGTTTCTATTTCCCACAAGGATTTCCAACCTTTTTATCCATTAACATCATAGTTTGTCTATTGCATGATTATTTCTTTCAGTCTTTAAGTCTTTGTATTTTATTCATGAATAAGCTTTTGTCAACTAAAAGCAACATCCAGGTCATTTTAAGGTCTGTTTCTTTAATTTTATTTTCTTTTGGTTATAGTCACAGTTCTTTCTGGATTTTTTGATATGTATAATATTTATTACACATGGAAAATTGGGGCAATAAAACCTAAGTCTGGGCCCTATCATTTTTGTTTGAAAAAATTGTAGCCTTTGTTCCTTAGAAGTAAAATTACTAATGTTAATTAAATTTATATTTCATTTGGATAAATTTGCAGAAGGCCCAAGGTATTTCTAATCTTAATCTTAGGTTACACAGACAGGTAAGGCCTACTCCAATGACTGAACGGGTCCCTTTCAAACTTTAGAAGCTGATGGCCTTAAGAGATATTAGGCTCTCGTCATGAGGAGAGCTGTCCTCATGAGAGCCTGTATGTGTGAAACACGTATCTATAGATCTATAGAGAGATAGATCTATATCTATAGATATATGTATGGTGTGTTTCACGCACATCTATCATATCTATAGCTCTATATCATATAGGAAAGACTTCACACAGAATTCAGCTTTCTTGCCCTTCCACTCTCTTCCAAATGAAGACACACCATCCCTTGAAGAGGCCAGAGCACTCAAGGTGCTGTCATGGAAGGAAGAGCAGCTTTCACCAGACATCTGGAGCCTTGATCTTACACTTCTCAGCCCACAGATCTGCGAGAAAATAAATTTCTGTTCTTTACAAATTACCCAATCATGAGTATTTATTTATTGCAACAAAAAGTGAACTAAGACAAGGTACTTACTCTTAAATCACAGACCTTTTCATTCTCAATAACATGACTTAATAGAATCACTCTACTATGCTTAGGACCTTAAACACAGACATGCTCATTTTCACAGCCAGTATACTCTCAAGTAAGCTCTTCCCAGTCTCACTGGCACCTGTACAGACAGACCATCCCTCAGCCAGATACTCAAAGTGAATGAATCCCTTTGCAAAATTCTGCCCCCATTTCAGTTCAGCTCTCTCCTTTCTGTTGTCCTGCTCCAGAGGTCAGCTGCTTCAGCAGACCTAAACTTTGATTTCTGCCTTTTTCAGTTCACCATTTCTGCTTGGATTCCACATCCTTGTCACACAATCAGGAAATTGTGCTAAGGCAAAAGTCAGAGAAGATGTTGATAGATGATGGGTGGACACAGATATATAGAATTATTTTTAAAATATATTTCAATGCTTAGAAATACACAAATTCCTCTTATATGAGGTTCTCACATTTTACTAGTTTTATCATTGTTTGTGGCAAGAAGATTAATCCAATACCAGCTACCCATTAAGGCTGGTAACAGTGCTAGTCTACATTGCAGTAACTATTCTGTTCTCTCAGATTCCCAAGTTATATTTCTTCTCTCTTCATTCCTACTTTGTGTATCTTATAAATCTGAGTTGAATACATACACAGTACTAAATAGTTCTAATCAAATACCTTAGAACTAGCTAGGTAGGGTCAAGCTTACTTGTAATCCCAGAACTTGGGAAGTACATGCAGGAGAATCAAAAGTTTTGGTCACTCTGGAATCATACTGAGACCACATCTCAAACAAAGCAAAAATTTTAAGACTAAAAAATGATGATAAGATCTTTTTCACCAGATTTATAGTTTCTAAAGTTTAGGAAATTAATGTTTTAAAACAAATTGAAAAATGCAAATTGAAAAAATATCCTCCCATGCTTATTTCCTTTCTTCATAAATAACAGCCTAAGAAAAACACCAATTCAACACTTTGATGGTATCTTGCTTTGCACATCCTTTGATGCGATATTGCTCTTCACATTCTTTCCTCAAGTACATTTGCCTATTGTAATTCAAGTTAAAATTAAAGACAGAAATTCATGTTATGAGCAGTTTCCTCACTTCCCAAGTTCTAACACTGGTTTGATTTCACTGGAACAAATGCAAATGTCTTTCTAACTACATTTAAAGACTGGTAACATCTATCTGTCCTCATACAAACCATGGCAGCTTTAAATTAAACAAAATTCAATGTAAATGCAGAAATCTTTGTATATTTAAAAACCATTTTCATGGAATGGAGAGGCCCACAAATGAAGCATATGTTTTCCAGTTTACTTTAGATCCTAGATGTGTTCACTCAATACTTAGAGATACTTGGGGTCAGTTTATCCATTAGACACACTGCCTAGAGAAGATAAATTGAGTCAGAGGTGCCAGAGGACTACAAACATCTTTTCAGTTCTTTTTTTTTTTGGGGGGTCCGGTAGTGGGGCCTGAACTCTGGGCCTGGGCGCTGTCCCTCAGCTCTTCAGCTCAAGGCTAGAACTCTACCACTTGAGCCACAGCGCTACTTCCGGCTTTTTCTGCTTATGTGGTGCTGAGGAATCGAACCCAGGGCTTCATGCATGCAAGGCAAGCGCTCTACCACTGAGCCACCTTCCCAGCCCTCTTTTCAGTTCTTGTAGAACAAAAGAGAAACTGAAAATTAGGTCAAAGAAAGTATTTAATAAACAATTTTAATATGTAGCAATATTGTAACAGAATACATTGTATATTATAGTGTATTATATATTACAGTTTATTATATTATAGTACATATATATTATAGTGTATTATGAAGACAAGCATCATTGACAAGGGCTTTCAGATTTGTTAGGAATATCTATCTGGTCTAGCATGTGAGTTGCGCCAGGTATTTTTCTACTAAATTAGACAAAATATTCATTCTTGTCCATATGCTCTTCAGGAGGTATGAATTCATCCTTTTTCCACTGGTCTTTATGGTTTACAGGAAGTCACTCATAAATTACATGGGCAGGCCAACAATTGGAAGAAATATAAACAAATATTACTCTGAGTAACTGGACTTCTTCACAGCCCCTTTTAAGTTCCATTCTAGATTTTATCATCACAACTACCTTACATCTTCTTTATATATTTCCACAACAGAGAAATAAATCTGGTGTCTTCCCATTTCAAAGACCTCAGTCACTTTGAAGCAGCCTACAATGTCATAAGTTCCTGAGACAGTACTAAGTAGTAGCTTTCACCCACAATGCACTTGGATAATAACCTCCAGACTGACTTAGCTGACTTGGGTCTTCTGGTTTTCCAGGTTCTCTTAACTACTAACATGTATAACTGTTCAATTAAGGATAACATTTTTGAATATGAAGGATCTGGTAAGTCTCAGGAGAATGGATCCTGTTTAATTTTTTTTTCTGAAGTTTCGGTGACTAGAATACTATCTAACATACAATTAAGGATTCAATAAATATTTACAAGACCATGTATATTTCAACAAGGAATAATCTTCTAATAGAATATCATACTCTCTAGTTCATTATTATGTAATTCTTTAAGGGGCTCAACTTTCTTTATGTCCATCCTAACATTTATATTCACTTTGCCAAATTTTAACAACTCCTTTAACACAACAGGTTCTGAATTAAACATTATTCATTAAACTACATACTTGGTCATGTGAACAGTACAAAAGCTACTTGCCCTTGGCATATTCATCCAAAATTCCATGTTCATCCATGAAGATCACCTTTTATTTGCTATGTATTCCATGATCTTTATACTTCAAAGCCTCTGTACATATTACTTCCTCTGATAAGGATATCTTCTCTATTGTTTCAAGTCCACATATAATTTCACCTCTTCAGAAGTCAGTACAAGAAGTACGTGTCCAAACCCTCTCCCCAGTTGGAAATATGCTTCCCTAGCAGCA